CCCTACCCGAAACCGATAGGGGCAACGATAGAGGATCACGCTCCGTTACGGGATCGTCGATGGATCACGGAACATTCTCGCCGTCCATCGCCGGAGCAAGACCGTCTGGAGTCATCCAGCGACGATTACGACCGACACAACGAGTGGATTACAGACAACTCGCCGGTCTCACAAGGAAGCCGAGGGCTCAAAGATAGAGAAGGAAACCATAGGTGAATATAGTTTTCTTTACAGATGGTCCTTGACCAAACTAATTGTAATCCAAGGATCCCTAGAGGGGAAAGGATTTTGGTTAAACGGGGGGGAGTTTAAAAAAAAAAAAAAAAAAAGACTGCTGGAACCGTGGAACCAGGTTGAAAAGTAAAGCTCAGCAAAACATCTAAATAAAGGAAATTTATGAAAGTTGTGGCTTAAGAATACCGGAAGCAGATTTGATGGTATGACTCAACATATGAATACAGTGCACATTATATAGGACTACAACTACATGAAGTTATGAATGAAGCAATGTCATCACGATAATAAATCAAGAAAACAAGCATCGTCATAGAAAAAAACTTCGAGTTTTACTTTGTACCTAAAAGTTTATTCACTAATATTGCCCAAAGATGGTCTAATGTTCAGTCAAATTATTGTAGATGCAACGACTTTAAGTTACAAAGTAACAAATTAATATATAGTTCTATTTTCAGATTTTTTTTCTGCTATTACAGTATATATTTATTTGCAGATAATATATAATTTTAAAATAATATAAACCTTCTATATTATCGGTACAAAAGTAGGTCACAGAAACTGTACATAAATGACATAGAAACCTTAATCGCTTGGCCATCCGGCTGTAATTCCAAGGATATTAAAAATTCCCTTTTCCATAACCATCGTGGATTTAGTCAGGTTCACAAAGAAGCGGATGATGATTGGTTAGTTTGTTAATGAATTAATTACCATCGATTACACCGTAACCCATGAGCAAGCTGCCAAAGGGAGAATGTCTTCCGGTAAGTTTTCATACGGGGAAACTGGCTCATATTTAGGAACAAATCCCACGTGACCAGGCCAATCGGTTATGCGCGAACCATCAACAAATGTACTGTACAGTGGTTTTATACAATCGGTCACTGATGACGCGAGTGATGAGAATTGACATATCCGATACAGTCACTCATATAGATTGCTAAACAGACCCGCATTCGAACCTGGGTTCTTGAAGCGGCATGATGATGCATTTACTACACGGCTTCATATAAAACCGATATAAAAATCCAAACAAAAACAACTGCGATGTAAAAAATTTTGCATTTTTGAATTGCTTATATTTCGGCAACCGCATTACAGAAAATCTTGAAATTTTGCACACTGTCTAAGAAAATGTTCTTTCAAACGATATTCGGAATTACTTCAGGTGTTTGGGGAGACGGAGAAATTGACCTCCGAAAATCGGCAACTCTGACATTCCCTGTATATATATATATATAAACTCTTTTCGCCCTATGGGCACTAAGAGGACTCTTTGAGCAAGCCCATTATGAGTTTGGCTAGGCCCACAATGGATGGCCAGTGGTGAGGGATGGGGGAGGCTGATATATCCGGTCGGTCCGATGGGATCGAATCCGGACGGGTCGAAAAATCCCCAGAAATTTTTCGATCCGTCCGGATTCGATCCCGGGTCCCTCAGAGCAATTGGTTGCCACACTGACCTCTTGACTATCCGGCCTGAATTCCTGTATATGTAGTCAGTCAGTGACATTTTTTACTTGGCGGGGAGTCACTGCGTGACTCCTGATATTATTAAATTATTTATAATAAATGAATTAATATTTTTTATTTAAGTTTTGTATTTCTGTTAAATAAATATTAACGTAATAATTTATTTTCAATTTATTTTTTCACAAGAAATTATTTTAAAAATTTGAACGAGGAGCCTCTAGTGGCGGATCGAGAAACAATTGATTTGAAAAAAGATGGAGGATGTGTTGTTTACACTGGAAATTCTCTGCTTATAATGAAGTAAGATGATATAGTACTTTTTAACCGTATAAAAATATACTATTTCTATTTTTGCAATAAGTTTTAGTAATTATTTTTAAGCAATACACTAACGTTTTCTCTCTCAATTTTATTTATTAAGGGAGGGAATTACAAATGTTATAAGCTTTATGAGTTCTGATGATAACTGAAATTTGAAAATTAAAATTTAGATCAAAATACATTAGTTATCATTTTATAGATGATGATGCCATATTGAATATTGAATTACTGTCTGATGATGATGAATGTTAAAAGAGATTATCTAATACTGTATATATATTGTGAAGCAGTAAACTTTAAATTATAAATGTACTGTACACAGAATTGTACTTTTATAGGTAAAATGTGAACCCTGGTGGAGGGATTTGCCACCTCCCAGAATTGTAGACCCTTGTAAGAGCAAAAAAGTCAATGGAACTATACCTGTATGTCTGATCCTTGTCAGATATAGCTCCAAAATCAGCCTACTTTCAGGTACTATAGGTAGTCACTCTGCGCACTCTGCTAACAAACATCCTGGCATGGTGGTCGGACATTCTAACAATATTTATCAGAAAGAATAAAAGAAAGTCCACTGTGCGGCCCATCATGAGATATTTACCTCCAAATGTGGAACCTTGACAATTACAGTTCTGGTTACCATCATGTTTGCAAGCAAGTTATGTTTTAGGCACAGCAACCATTGCTTTTAAGATAAATAATAAAAATCCCTTAACTATTATTTTTATTAACAGTTTTTACCTTGAACCAGTACTATTGCCTACTCTCTATGCTCTGTGTCAGTGTGGGAACCAAGGTTGTGAGCACCTTGGTTCCCACACTGACAGGGAATTGGGTGAGCCCCACACTCCTTAAAACTATTACATTAAGTACTCCAAGAACAGTCAAGTGCTACTCAAAGCCTGCATAATTGTGAGGGTTAAATGTGATACTCTTACTGTTAGCAGAGAGCACAGTGTGACTCCTGATTGCTCATGTCCTGGAATTAGGCTGATTTCAGGGGTCTATAACTCATGAAGGGTCATATGTAGAGGTCATATGTAGAGATATGGTTCCTTTGACTTTCTTATTCCTATAGGTATGATCTATAGCTTTGGTTCCATAACTGAACTCCCAGTGTTCAGGTAATGGAACAGCTTTGATATCAGCATTTCTGATTGTTGATAGTATCTTTTTCATGTGGGAAGTTGAACAATGGTTTTCAGACCGAATTTTTTTTATCAAGATATTCTCTTACTGGGAGATCTAAGAAACAATTTCATACACAGAAAAGAGAATATTTGATTTCTATTAACCAAACTTTTATATATTTTATATCATTTTTACCAATATATATTCTAATTTTGTTTAGTTTAAATTATATATATTAAATTTATCAATATGGTAGAATTATGAAAGGAAAAAAATATTAATCTGCAAATTATTTATTTACTTATTCATTTTTAATTATACAAATAAATAAACATTGTCATTTTTATATGAATTATAGTAATTATACATCTCTATTTTCTGATCAGTTCTGTTTGTTGTGATAGAATACTTTGGTTTCTACTCCGTAATCATAGGCATTCATCCCTGTGACAATCATGAATATGCAGCAGTCTTGCTTTTTATAAGAATAATTGATGGTTAAATACTGTTAAAATTTTTCTTCTTTTACAGAAGAAAATGGCATTTATTTATATTCAATATATATTAGGATATTATTATATGCAAAAAAAAAAAAAAAAGATATAGTATATGAGCATTTTGTTATTTTTTTCTGTTCAAAACATTAATTATGAAGGCATATTTTAAATTATGTGTATGTGAACCGCCGGGGAGGGTGTAGGTCTCCCAATCCGGCAACAGGTTGTTAAACCTTTTCACTGTCAGGATGGATGGAAGGATTCTTTTTCCCGCAGTAACGGGCTTTAATGTTTCGGGTCCCATGCTAACTATCAACTTTGGAGTTGGAATGTGGGATTAGTTTCGAAATGGACGGATGTTTACTTTAAACAAAAGGGGAGATCGGAAATTTTCCCTTTTTTTCGTTAGATTGTCGTTTATGTTTTAAAGGAAAATTAAATTGGGGGTTTAGAAAAATGCTGAATATTAATCGGAAAATTCGGTAAAAAGTCTGGATCTCACATGTAGTTTGCTTATTTGCATATTTAGATAGATCTAGAATTTTATTTCTATATAATATTATAGTTAATATAAAAAAATTATTGTAGAGATCAGCATATTACCATATTTAAGAAAGAATATTTTTTCAGCCATAAGAAGTTCCGTGCTTTGTTAAAAAAATTTCGCAGAAAATTTAAGAGACAGGCTTTAGCTAAATTACGAGAACAAAAAGGTAAAGATTTGTTTTTATATAATTAATTAATCACTTAAAATCTAAGTATTTTCTATATTTTATTAAATAATAATAATAAATTTATTAAATGAAAAAAATTTGCATAGTTTTAGTGATGTTCTATTTTTTGAAAAGCTAAATTATATCAAGCTATAATTTGTTTGGTTTTAATACATAACTATTGGATTATTTAAGATATACAGATATATTTGTATACAGAACAAAAACATATTAGGATATTGGTGAAATTGTAAAATAAAATAAAAATACAAAAAAATAACAAAATTGTAACATAAAATAGCATTAAAAAAATTAAGTATAGTTAACACAAAATAGTTTTTTTTCCACTTTGAATTACTGAGAATATACTGTAAAAAAAATTAGAAATTTTTTTAACAGCAGAATATTGACACATTGATAATATAATAGAATATATATATTCTATTATAATTATATAATATAATATAATATTTTATTATATTATATTATATATGTATTTTAATCAAAATTTATTAACTCTTACATAAATACTGTTGAAAAATCCTTTGGCAATCAGTTTGGCAAATGAGTGGTTCATATCTAGGAGGAACTTTTCAATTTATTACGAAAAATATGTTAGGGAAGGAAGAGGATTAAATAATTGTTATATATCATCTATTTCATACCATTTTATTGTATATTTGATATAAAAATTTATTACTTTTTAATAGTTTTATGTAACATTAAATAATTTTAATTAATAGATAAATTAATAATAATATAAATAATGATTAAATCTTGCAGCACAANGCTTTTTCCATTCCCACAAATATTGTACAATGAGGTGAAGAAAGGTAATTAATAAAATAATGTTTATTCCTCCTTTACATAAGTGTATAATAGAATTAAAATTTTAATAGATAACTTTTAATAGTAATGCATTATTAACACTATAAAGCTTTCTATTATTTTTTCTAAAATTTCTATTAATTGGCCATGCAATTTAATTTCTGATTTTTGATTAATGATAGGAAGAGTACTTATCATGCTGCTTAAAATAATTAGCTGTAAAAATCAGAAAGCTTATTACATAATTGAAATGATTCAAAGGTTGCTACAGACAACACAGTGAGAGCAGGGTTTGTCTATAGTAACAAAACAAATCTTCATGTTAGTACAAAGAGTAAATTTGATATGCTTAAAAGATAACTTGAAGATTTTTATAATTTCCTTCATATATTTTTTTTGTGGGAAATATTAGAAATAATCTCAAAAATGTGATCCTAGTTGCTATAAGTTTACATTGTAAAATTGCTATTGATACAGCCTTATATATGAAAATTTGTATTTTGGTACTTAAAAATATTAATTATTTGATTATAGATAAAAAGAAAACTTATTTTATAAAATCAATTTTAAATATTTTATATTTTTTTTAAGAAAGTAGCATTGATTTTATATAGAATTTTCATTTTTACAATGTTGTAGTATATATTACATAATGAATTTATTTTCATTTATGAATGAATTAAAAGAATGTCAAATATTAAAATTTTTTTTAGAGAAAGGCAACATATGCTATGGTTAGAACGTGAAAAAGAAGCACAAGAATTGTTTGAAAAACAAAAGGATTTAAGAGAGTTGCAAAAGAAAAGAGAAGAGGAAATTGTAAACATTTTTAACAGTTCTAATTAAATTATTATTCGCTATTCGGCCGAATAGTATGCAACATTCGGCCGAATACCGAATATTAAAAAAAGTAGCCGAATACCGAATAGTAGCCGAATATTCGTGGCATCACTAGATGTAATCTGGTTGTTGTTTTGCTTTACAAATTTATTCGGTTTTGTGATGTTTATGTATAAAATATGATATATGAGATAGTAACATTTTAGGACTTGCAGATGGTATTTCTGTAAAAAAAAATCTTACCAAAACTTGCCACTATGGCACTTTTGATGTGTAAATAAATGTTTTATACAAGACACTCATGCTATACTGACATCTGAATGATGCAGGAAATACTACTCAATCTGGTTTTCAATCTGATGGTGTAAAACCCAAAGACAATGAACAGTATGTCTAGCAACTAATCAAAATTGGTCTTCTGTGATGCTTTTCACATGCAGTGTGATATCATTTTTGAAAGTTGCCAAGTTTGCAACTTGTCCTTGATAAAGCACACTTTTTAAAAGTCTTCACAACCAAAAATCACATGGACAAGGTTCTGGAGAAAGAGAAGTGCACAACTAATCACTCTGTTGTTGGCAAAACATTGAAGAAATTCTGTATGAAGTATCTGAAATGTAGAGATGTTCCATCTTGCATGAAAGTAATTGACTCACAGCATTGTCCTATTGCAGTTGGAGTATAACACAATGAAACCAGTTTCTTTGAATTGAGTGATCATTTATTTCAGAGCTGTGATGACAGAATTCCAAAAGTGCAGTCTTAGTGTAGTTACTATTGTCTTCAAACAGCTTTACAAGAAATGCACATTCTGACAAAAGTGATAGCCATCATAACCAATAATACTGATATTAAACAATTTTGGTCACTTTTAATACCTAGAACTTGACTGCTGTATGTATGGTTAAGCAGAGGAAGCTGTTTTTTTCTTTATTTTTTCTTGCAGTGCCAAAAGTGCCATAGTGGAAAGGTTTGGTATTAATTTTTATTATAGAAATGTCTTCTGTGAGTCCTGAAATGTTTCTATACCACATTTGATTGCATTTGGACTGCTAAATCTCTCTTGACAGCATTAAATAGGGTGTTTTAATTACAATCTAAAAATTAAAATTCTTTATCATTTCTAGAGACTATTAATGGTGATAATATTAGAAAAAGGTGCTTAATGTTAAAATACATCATATTTTATAGATTCCTTTTCTAGTTTACACAAATTATTGATCAAGGATTAAAGTTTTTATTTATCAAACTGTATTGAGATTAAAATTTATTATGTTTATGTTATTTTTAAACTAAACATTAAAATCATTTTTTAATGTCATAATTAATGGAAATAATAATGCTAGATTTAAGTTCTTGGAAGTGCTGTACATATCCATAATTTACATTATGTTATGTTCCAAAAGTAAGATACAACCTTTTATTACAACTTAATAACAAATTACGTTAAAAAATTAAATTATCCATTTAAAAGTATATAGTCTCCATTTTTTTTCTAAACACTTTTTTCAGTGGGAGACAATGACAAAAATTCCTTTGTGAAAAAATTCTCCGCTTAATAATTTGAAGATGTCCATGACTGCATTTTTAACTTAATCATCATCTGAAAAGTATAACATACTAAAAGGTTTCTTAAGAAGTCTAAAAAGGTAAAAATCAGTGTGTGCTAAGTCTGGACTTTGCACAGGATGATATGCCTGCTGCATTATAATGCAACTCTCTTTAGACTGGCTAAAAAGTGTATGTGGGAGGTAATGGATCAAACCATCCTGTGCATAGTCTGGACTTAGCACCCTCTGATTTTTACTTGTTTGGACCACTTTTCAGATGATGATGAAATTAAAGATGCAGACATGAACTTATTCAAATTATTAAGTGGAGAACTTTTTCAGAAAGGAATTATTGCCCTTTATGTATTGATTAATTTTAAATACATGTATAATTTTTATATTATTTTAAGAATGTACAGAAAACAAGCAAATAAAACATTTTGAAATTATTTTATATTTATAATAGTGCAGCTAAATTTTATTCTTTTGATATGATAAAATTTCAGCTTATTGAAAAGTTTTGCGGTCAATTGAAAGTAGTTTAAATTCCTTTAATAACTGATAAGATCTCAGTTTTCAGCATTCAATAATTTATCATATGATGGTAGAAAAGTGTTATACAATTCTAATTAATAAGTTGAGTGTTGGATTATTTAATAATATCAAATTATAAGTGAAATTCATTACTCACACTATGATTATGTTGTTAATTTTCAGGTGTTCTAGATCACATCCAAAACCTGAAATTAGTCATACTCTACTGATAAAGGGAATGTACAGTCATTTTAGTATCGAACAGAGTAATTGTGATGATTATGATGCTGATTGTAATTTAGAATACGAAGACAGTGAAACGTACCATCATTTCTGTGAATTTTATGATGATGTACTACCTGAATTTAAAAAAGCTGGCAAAGTTATTCAGTTTAAAGTTTGCTGTAATCACGAACCTCACCTTCGAGGAAATGTCTATGTACAATATTCAAAGTAATTCTTGTTGTTTATTTTTTTACGTAATGTATTTAATAAATATGTTGATTTAAATTAATGAATTTAATTAAACTGTATATAACTTTTCTTTTTATTTTTTGGAATTTTTAGACAAGAAGAAGCAGAAAAAGCTTTTAGATTATTTAATACCAGGTGGTATGGTGGAAAACAGTTAAGCTGTGAATTTACAAATGTAATTAAATGGAAGAGTGCTATTTGTGGTATGTTTAATGAAAATATTGATTATTTCTTTAATTATTATATAATGATAATTTCTTTGATCTCTAATTGTAAATAAAAGGTAGAAGTTAATTTTAAATTGTAATTAAACTGAAAAAGATTATAAAATTTTAAATGAGTAATAAATTATATATACAGGTAACCCCCGTATAACACGGCACTTCTATAGCATGGATTCGCTCTAACACGGTTCGAGAATTGGTACCATCCCCCGTATAACACGGTACTTTTATAGCACGGATTCACTCTGACACGGTTCGAGAATTGGGTAAAACCCTTGTACAACAGCAAATGTAATAAATTTTTACATACTTAAGTAATAATAGTTCACGAAAAAAATAATTTTCGTGAACTATTAGTACTTAAGTATGTAAATTTTCTCTTCTCGCCTTCTGTCGATACACGTGGTCCTTCTCGAAACTTGTTTCAATGTTGCCAGATCGCAATGCTTCTGCTTCTGATGTTGCCGAATGTTTTTCCCTTATTCCATACTTGCTTTATTCTTCATAAGTGCTTAGCACCATATAAGGAAATTTATAAAGATCTTTTAACTAGAAGCAAGCAATCTAAAATTACATACATTTTGCAAAAGGTAAAGCATGGATCTGAAGATAATGCAGAAAAATGCTCAGAGGATAAGGATAACTTGCCAAAAAGAAAACGCTCTCAGTTAATTAATAGTGTTTTTAGTGATGACGAAGAAAACATTGTTTAATTTATATTAATATGTATCACTTAAAAAATTTTAATGAAGATATTTATCTTAATTATGAAAATATACTAGCATGTTTTTTAATTTTTGGAACCTAACCCTCCTTTTCGTATTAGTTCTTTGTTTCGTATAACACGGATTCGCATAACACTGCAATTTTTTGGAACGTAACTACCGTGTTATACGGGGGTTACCTGTATATATATATATTTTTAAGGAGTTCATAATAAAAATTTTGTTATATTTTAATTAGTATTAAGTAGATTTAATAAAAAAATTCGTATAATTTGCAAAATAATTGTTTAAATTTATTACAAATTAAATAAACATGGTAGTAATATCTTAAAATGGAAAATCAAATTCTAATCTTCCCATAGTTGGAATGGGAGAGGAGGAATAATGGCTCCATAAGGACAGAATTCCTGCATTCATTGAAATATCTTCAAACAGCTGAATGAATTGGCTTAGTTCACTTAATAAAATGAAAGGATTCAGCTGTTATGTCTGCAGTCAAATAATACTTTCAGTATCCTTATGTTTTATATACTCGCTCATTGTATACTTTTTAATCATTTCCAACTATATTGTAAAAAAACAAGAATAGTTTTGATTTTAAACTATAATAGTTTTGTCAAGTTTCTATTAATATAATCATAATGAGGGTGTAATCAATATCAATTATAATATCTTGTAAATCCTAAGATATTAGATCTACCTTAACTATTGATGTAGTTGGAGAATGTTTAAACTTTGTTCTTCCATTGACAGCTTTGCAGTTGGTATGTATTAAAAGTCAGTTATATTAAAATCTTATTAATAATATTTTTTAATTAATGGCACCAATTAATAGATAAATATGCATTTGTAAAAACATTAAAAAAGCAATAACATATTTATTTATTGGTAAATTTAAAGCAACAATTATTATTAATCTTTTTTAAATTATTATCAGTTTTCAAAAGTATCTAATAATCTTATTTAATATCTACATTATTTCCTGCTTGACAAATATTCAAAACTGCAATTAGTCTTATACTGAACACTTATATAACATTTGGATTTTATTCCTAAGAAATGTGATTTTCAAAGACTAATTGATTTAATATCCTTCATAAATAAATATCAATACAATTATATATTTATAACTAAATTAACATTTCAAAGGTTAGAGAAAATGATATTTTTTCAACACTAGAATCAATTTGGTTGGTACAATAAAAACATGAGAGTTGCTGTGATTGATAATAATGTATTTTATCTGTATATAAATTGCAATGTAGCTAATAAGATTTATAAATTATAAATAAATGCCATAATCATCATTTCTTTCCATTTGATATTTTACAAAAATTTGAAATATTTCAATATCCAAATATTTATTACTGGATGTTGGTGTAATGTTATATTCTTTTGAACAGTTAAGAATTTCTTCCCCAAAGAAAATTGAAATATAAAAAAATTAATATGACTGTACAGTGATTCTTTATTTGTATTATTATCTGTTTTGTTAATGAAATGATGTTCTTAAAAGATTGTAATAAGTGAACTAGTGTAATTGAAATTTTTTCTTTTGGATTATGAATTTTGATAAGATATTATAAAAACAGTTTTATATTTTTTCATCCAATTTTGATTTAAGTAATAAATATTTTGCATAGTGAAATTTCACTATACAACAATAATAATGATACAAAAACTACAGGAAGCACATTTTAGGACAATGCTTCTAGACAGTATTTTAGGAAATACTACATCATTCACAAAACTATATAACACATTACATTGGGCTGCAAGTTTTCAACACAAATTGACTACTCACATTGACATAACTAAATATTAAACATAACACATCAAATGTTTGCACACAAACACAAACTGTTAAACCCCAGTATATATCCTAGATGGTTATAGAAAACAATGCACACAAAATATATTTGGACTGAGCCATAATCGCAGATAAAACAATACGTCATAGACATAGTTTTTTTAAACAGTCGCAATCTACAAAACACATATACAAAAAAAAATTAGTAAATACTCAGGACTTATCAGCAAAATAAAATACTTATGGAAAGTGGATAGAACTTATTGGGCCTGTAGTCCTTTCTTGCATAGGTGTCATAAAATACATTAAAGTGTAGAAATATTAGGGCTGTATTACAGCATATGCACCACAGTACAGAAGGCTTCCATACTTAACACATTATATAATCAGGAAATTCTTAAACACAGATACTTACACAAATAGCACATAAACAAAACACGTTGCTTTCTGCAGCTATGTCTTGATCTTAGTTTGACATAGCACTATGTACTGGTATTAAATGAGTAGGATACATTCCACCAACATTATAATAATGATAACTTATTATTAAAATGATATACTACAGAATTACTTATTTATCTTGAAATAAAGTAAAATCTGTATTATATGTTGTTATAAGTATATGATGAAGTACCGGTACTTGCTTATTTAAAGTTACTGAAGATAATTTTATTACAAAAGAAACGTTTTTCTGTAGTCATCATTAGTTCTTATTGATATTACGGAATGGTATTTATGAAAGTGCTTAAAATATGGAAGTTCCGCACATTTAAAAAAAAACAAAACAAAACTATAATCATCCAACAAATTTTAAATGTACAGAACACTATTTTGTAGAATATAATTCAAATTTGAAATTATAAATATATCTGTCTAAACTCTGTTTAATACATACTACTGTGTTCTGTAATACTATTTTTGTTTTCAGTGAAATGTTATTTTTGTCAGAGAAATGGCAAATATAATAATAAGAATTCTATGAGTAAAGCACTTGTTTTCCTATGAAATTACTTTGTTTTTAAAATTTAATATATATTCATACCTTTTATCATCTCAGTCATTCTATTAAAATGTACATATAGAACCAATAAAACAAAAACCAGCTATTTAATTTATGTTAAACAAAATAACACATCAATGAAATTAATTTTATCATTATTGATATAATCAAACCAAAATGTTCTATATTTTTGTAGAAAACTTTAATATTTAGTAAATCAATTTCATGTTCAAAATTATTTTATATGCATTTTCATTCAGAGTTCATTAACTCAAAAAAAAGTTGTTAATAGAGAATTTTCTATACAAAAGTTTGACATTATGTATCTAATAGATGACATAATTACATATAAAACCAAGCCTGATAAACATTTTTAATCAAATAAAAATCTGGTTGTATCATTTCATTAATACTCAGTATAATGGTATAATCTCAATAGTCTATATATATATTGATTTTTTAAATTTTATTTTACATTTTTTGAATTTGAGATATATTTACATAAATTAAATTTCTTAATAATAATAAACTTCTTTATCCATCCTTTGCATAACTTGAATATCTGTATACATTTGTTACATTTTTGCTATAATGAGGGTCTTTTCAAAATTATATACAGGATGTATCAGAATGACGTTTTAAAAATTTGGGGGATTGTAGAGGATGAAATTTTGAACATTTTGATATAAGAAACCTATAGCCGGAAATGTAATATAAAGTTTCTACAGCACTTTGCATGTTCTTTGATATCGGTATGCTGCACTGGCATTCCCTCGAGCGTCACCATAACACAAATGCATATCAGCAAGTTCTTCAAATGTGTAGTTACCCTCCATGACACCAGAATGTATTCACACGTGAAGAACCATAAGCAGACAACTGTACACTGACTCACGTTGACTAGCTGTATGTTTACAGCACAGCGCCAGTGGATGCAAGAGGTGACCTGAAGAACGACAAGCACTAAGTACACAACATCATGTATGCAGGCTCAGTTAGACCACTGTAGTTGTGTGTTTAATCTTCCATCCACAGCAATAACATGACATCAATGGACGGAAGGGTAAATACGAAAGTGAAGGGCAGTCAAGCACTTCCTACAGCTGTAGACACTTTAGTTCAAATTTCCGGCTATAGGTTCCTTATATCAGAACGTTCAAAATTTCATCCTCTACAATCCCCCAAATTTTTAAAATGTCATTCTAATACACCCTGTATATAAACGCATAAATGCTTATGCTCCAATATATTAACTTATTAACTAATATATAGTATTATATTTTATAATTAATAATATTATATATTATTATTTGATTTTTCTTTACATAATTACATTTATTAAATAAATTTTAATCAAATTTTATTTACTTTACCTATTAGCATGAATAGTGAGATATACCTATATTCAGATATTTTCATTTTAACCATTTTTTAATTTATAAAATTATATTAAAACTATTTTCTAATAAAAGAAAAATATCAAAACTTATAATGATTTTATTTGTATACAAATGCAATTACAACTGTAGTATTGCACAGTCAGTGAGTTTCATTTAGTTTGAATCAGTGAAATAGAAAAACATAGAAAACGATAACTTCTACTAAATGAAAATCCTTTATATTTATTTCCAAACATGTGTCATCATTGGCTGAATAGATAAAACCACTGAATGCTGGTAACAGGTTTGCACCTTCTTGACAGGCTGGCCACATAGTTTTCCAGGTTATCTTAATATGTCTAATTCCAAATATCTAAATGGGAACCAGTTTCCAATAGAAGTCCTCTCAGGAGACACCTTCTCCTTCTTGGCAGATCATCTGCATGTTGTGTTGCCTTCTATTATCAATCCAATCCAGTTATTTTCAAATATATTAAAATGCAAAAATTTATAAATGTTCTATTTCATAAAATATTTGAAGTAATAATTAGTAAAATTTAAAATAAAATATTTATAAATAATTTTCTGTATATTTGATACTAGGAAAATTAGCATATATTTTATAGGAATTATTTTCAAATGCTTGGAGAAGATTGCGAGAATGTTTATGCACTAAAAACTTTGGCCATCTGGCCTCCTCATTACATATCAAAAATATTTCTTTATAAAAAAAAAAAGATTTTTTTTCTGTAAGATTAACTTTAAAAATATTTATTAAACAATGTATCTGTTATATTTTACTTAGTGAAAATAACAAATATTTAATATTTTTAGATTATTTTATTAGTTTTTTTAATTTGCAAATTAGGTTGGATTAAATTTATCAATTTGACATAATTGCAGGTTGAAAGGTCAGTTTAATTTTAGTCAGTGTAGAAGGATGAATTACACCTGACTGAAAATGCACAAGAAAAAGTTTAGAGGATCCAGAACAGATTTGAATAATTAAATTATTTAGCGGTCAACTAATTTGGCATTATAAGCCAGCTGTCACCATCCATCGATAACTTCTGCAATTAAATAATTTAGAATAATTACATAAAAGCCAGCAATTTGAAAAGTTGTTAAATATTTCCATTATTAGTAAGTAGATTACGTAATTTTATTTTACATGCTTGGACGAAGGTGCATTTAGTAATTACAGTAATTAGAATTTGTAATACAGGATATAAATTAATCATGGGGATTAAAACGAACTTAATGTACCAGACTGAAATCTGTTGTTGATACATCATTAAGTACTCTTAGAATCTCTATTATCCAATCTGCCAGAGACAAGAAACACACAATAAATTCATATTTCTTAATTTATTTAAATATAAAAATATTTTGTCCATTTAAAGAAAACGACTAATTTATCGGTTAATAATTTTTGAGTAATCGTTAATGGAAATATTTATTGATAATAAATTACTCATTTTTTTTAAGAGATCAGAAGTTGAATCTGATAGAAATGTTTTTTCTTTTTTAATTTTTAAAATTACTCTACAAAAAATACAAAAATCCATTAGAGTTAAATAAATTACAGAAAAATTATGCAGATGTTCAGCATTTGAGAAGGGCAAGACGAGCCCGAACCGCTCACAAATGCACATTTCATCTCTCCAAAAGTCATAAAAGAACGTATAAATAATATAAATGAAACAGATAAAACTACCATTTATCAAAAACTAACATTAATTTACATCATTTATATATATATATATATATTTTACATAAATGATTAAATTTTGGAAGTTTGGTCAGACAGCCTTGTTTGCTTCTTCTCCCTCAACCTGCAAATAGTGTACACTTGCTTTCAACTTATATTGATAAGCTAGATTATATACAGAAATATTTTTACTTCTCATCAAAATCTTCAGGGAAGAAGTTTGCTTGATGATTTTTATCACACTTAAATTTTATTATTATTATTTATTACTTAATGTAAAGTTTTAAGTAATAATCTGATTAAAAGATAAACTGTAGGCAGGATGCTGTAAAAATTTTAATGCTGTCACCAAACATTGAATGATGCTTCGTTAAATTAGTTTTATTTACTTTTCGGAATATTAATTAATCAATTAGATTTTTCGACTTAAAGCAATGATCACATTGTTTATTTTTTAGGTCTCTTCCATAGAAACCGCTGCCCTAAAGGTTCCAGTTGTAACTTTCTGCACGTGTTTAGGAATCCGGATAACGAATTTTGGGCAGCGGATCGAGATTTGGAAGAGAGGAGAAGCGGCTATCGAAGCGAGAGACGAAATTATAGCCATCGCTCGCCCGAAAATCGCAGCGATCGAAGGAGACGGAAGAAACGTCGCAGGAGATCCGCATCGTCCTACGACCGCCATCTTGGTTCGTCTCCGTCTGACGCGTCGTCCAATTCGTCGCGATCGCCGTCGCCGTCGCGATCCAGAAAAAGATCTTCGAGGCGACATTCCAGAAAGTCATCGAAATCGAAAAAGAAAAGGAGACATTGAAATTTTAATGTACATAAAACGTAATTTAGTCAATAAATAAATAAATAAAAATATGTTGTAATTATAATCCCGGATCTGTTTGATTCACGTTACTTCACTTAGTATCGAATATATAATTCGGCCATAAATATTAATTAAGGAGAGATCGGATGGAGTTCAAGGTTACAAAAATACAGGAAAAGGAATAAAGGTAGATTTCTCGGCACGTGGAGGTGAATAGGAGGTATGACGATAAGTAACGCGACGCTACTGGCTCCACCTCCCGGGATAGGGACGTATAAATTGGTGACTAGGTCACTCTAGGGCACGTCAGTCCGGATCTAGACTGCATCGTTATGACCTGGGTTGTCGCTTGTATATTCATCTATCAGGCGGTCACTGTCCTGTCACAAAGGCCATTCTCCGGTCCGTGCCCTAAACATGCCGCGCAGGAAGGTTTCGATATGGGAAGTGTAAGTAATTTTTTTTTAATTTTTTTTATTATTATTATTGCGATTATTGTGACGTTTAACGTTTTTATTGTCGCGTTTACGACTGGCGGGTGTTTACCGAATTCGTTTCTTAGATATGTCTCTTATCCATCGATATAAAATGTGTACATCATCCGAGATTAGGAAGATAACGCATCATCCTTCAATATAGGAAGATGATTTATCTTCCTATATAAGGGATGATGCGCTTCGAGGAAGTGAAGATGTCCGCTCGTGACCTGTCCGTTGTGTAAGCTGTTAACCTTAATCATACCTGTCTCGAGTCGGGTTTTTTTTCTTTTTTAGATAATTAACCACGTGTTTCTAATTAAAATTCTTATCGAAATAGATATAAAGTTTAATTATCTCTTTGTAAAACGTTCTTTTATTTTATTTATTTTTGCGAAATTTTAATCCCAGTTTTTAGGAGTTTGGTACGAAATCGAGAAGACTTCACTAGTTCAAGACGGTGTTCGTTGCATAAAGACTAAGTATATAAAGACCAATGATGGGAAATTAACTCTGACCACCACTGGTATCAATTTGCTGTATGTTTCCTGTAAAATTTACTGTTCGTATTTAAGTAATTCGTTCATTTTTAAGGATATTTTTCTTCGTATTTTAGTGGTATCGAACAGAGTTCTAGAGGAGAAGCTGTACTGGAATCGCTCGATCCAGCGACATTATTGGTCCAATATAATACAAGTACTGGTCGTTTATTTTTTCATTAATTTACTTTAATTTTTTTCTTTTTTTTAAATATGATTAAATTGTAATTTATTTTTCTTTAGTTATAGGTCTTCCCGTATCTACGACATTAAAGATTTTGGATACAGATTATAAAAATTATGCTGTGGTATGGTCGTGTTCGCCGGTTTTGGGACCTTTAGGGCATACAGGTAGAGGAAACGTTGTACAAATATTATTATCTTGTAAATAATTACTTGTACGCAGAAATTAATTAAATGTTTTTATTTTAATAGAAAATTTATGGCTGTTATCTCGAAAAACGTCGATGGATCCGGATGTCAGAAAAACGTTGATGGAAAGATTGACAACGTTGAATATTGATCACGAAGGACTTCGAACTATCAGTCATCAAAATTGCACATGAATAATTTATTACTTGTTTAATAATAATGGCGACGTGACATTGATAACTTATTAAATATTCATAACATCTTTATGTAAACTCGAAGTGATTAAATAAATGTCCATATTTATTATTTTATAGAATATTTAGTTCTCATTTAAATTCGTGCCTACTAGTGACCGACTGGATAAAACCACTGAATACTTGTCATGGGTTCGCATCCGGAGTTTTCTGAGTGTTCTTCGCATGTTTAACACCTAAATAGGATCCAGTTTCCTCCCGTGGAAGTGCCCATTTTGGCTGATTACCCATTTGTTGCGTTTCCCTTTCTCATAAATCCAGTTATTTAAATTCTGATTTGTTTGAGAAAGTCAAGGATAATTCCCAGAAATTATACTTTGAATTGAATGAAATTGCAGTATCCTGTTTAAGATATCCTGAACTTTTTGCGTGTGGATCACTAAAAAATACAAAATTATCCAGCTGTCGTTCATACATTAATATATAATTTAAAAATATTCTAAGCATTTCATTTCTATGCTATTTGTGTACTAGAATCCTGTAGATGTAGGATCGTTTGGATCGGATAAAAAAAAGATTAAAGATGGCGGCCTCCATGATTAAAGTCAAGCTTATAGTTGAGAGCAAAGATGTCGAAATGTCGACATCTGTCAAAACTGTCGAAATGAGAAGTATTTAAAACTTATAAATGGTAAGTAAAAACATCATTACTAAAATATCCGATAAACTGAGATGTTTTGTGTCCCTGATTAGAATTTTTCACTGTTCATTGACGTTTCTATCAGAAGTGTTAAATGAAGAATACAGTATTTACAATTCTCAAAAAAACCTCTTCGCATAGTTATAAATAGTCAAATTTCCATTAATAATTACCTCTCAAAAACGGCCACTTTTTAGGAACTTCTTTTTTGAACAAAAAGGCATACAAAATAACCTCCGAACAACTACCACTACCTTTTTTTTATTTTTACTCTTCAGAAAACAAATAGGTTCATTCGATCATTCACATTCAACATGAATATAACAGCAATTTTTGTAATGTTAAGTCTTTTTTCATACTGTTAAATTTTGTTTCATATATTTTTTCAATGGCACAAGTTTCAGATCCTGTGATCGTGTATGGCAAGTTACAAGAGAACGTTAGAAGTATTCCTAAAGAAATTCTTTACTTATTAATGTTGAATGTCAAATGCTAAATCAAATTTTATTAATTTTCATTAAATTTGATGTAAGAAGAAAGCACACTCTTCAACATCCCCTTTTCTATCTACTCAGTGAGTTGAATTGATTTTAATGATTGTAATGCTGAAAAAGTCATGGTATTGAAATTATTATTTTTTTTAGAATTATTTTCAACACTGAGTATATTAACAATAGAAATGCTGATGTACAGTTTAATCTGCTGGATAGGAAATCTTCACTGTTCAAGTGAAGATTTCCTATCCTTGGTTATATTCTCAAAAATTCCACCAATGGCCGACTGGATAAAATCATTGAAAATTGAAAGTCGCCCTCAGGTTCGTGTTTTACCAATTGACTGGTCGTGTGGAATTTTCTGGGTTTTCTTCACATATTTAAATAGGTGCCATTTTCTCATAGAAAGTCATCCCTGGAGGCATTCACGTGCCACTTTCACATAGAAAGTCCTCCCGGGAGGCATTCACCCTTGGCTGATCGCCCGTGTGTTGCGGGCGATCAGCCAAAGTCCTCAAATATTCTGGAAATAACTATTATTTAATAAATACAATTTAATTCAAACATATTAATATAAGTTGCAAAATATTTTTTTTTTATTCCTTGATGTTCAATTATTTACCCATTTTCATTTCGTAATATCTGAAATTTAAAATATCCAGAAAAATGAATAATAATAAGAATAATAATTAATTTACAACTTATCTGAGTAATATTTTAAATTTCAAGAAGTTTTTCTTGGATCTACAAATTGAAATTCCTCAGGAGAAATAAAAACACGAAATTGCACGCGATATAAATGTAAAAAAAAGAAGGTTAACAAATTGTATAAATCAAAAGACCACAGGCAATAAAATAATTATTCCAGTTTGACTTATTTATTTATTTGAAATAAAATGACCTCACATAACTTAGAACTATCAAAATATTAAGACATTAAATATATTTTATTTCAACACAGAAAAGCTAATTGGGTGGGGTAGGTTGATGGAATAAGGCAACGCAATACTTGGGCCATCAACCAAGGGGTCATTCAAATACAATGTCATCAATTTTAAGTCCTTGTTGGCTATCTATTCCCTTCCTGTCTCATTTTGTCAACAATTTTAAGACATCCCCATGTTGATGTCATACTTGATCTGCCACTCCCTGATATCATAATCAAGCATTTCTATAAACAGATCTGCAGTGTATTCATTTATTTTACTTTTCGTTTATAATTTTCATATTTACTCTTAAGGCAAAGCTAATTTTAATAAATTATCAATCCCCTAATATACAAACTTCCCTGCAAAATTTTAAAGCGAATATCTCTCTGGAGGACCTATCTATGAGAAATTGATCATTATTCAAGTGTTAATTAATATACTCGTGTCGTCTTCTGTACTTGCAATAACAATTAAACAGGTTAGTGTTATCGCTAAATCTACTTTTTATTTGCATTAAATAAGATCTTGCAATGATAAGAGTTTCTTCAGATGTTGCCTTTCATTTTGTTCTCTTTCTTTGCATCTTTCTCACATTTTATCGATGATGTGAGAGTGATGCGAGGAACGTTTCGGCTCAAAATTCGGCTAGTTTCCGGCTTGATATGTACAGAATTTAATATTTCTTGAAAAATTTGAACTTATCTACGTATTTTTTTCAATATTTCCTCGACATATTTTATAATTTTCAGTTGAGTCATTTTTTTAAATTGAAGTACTTTAGATTCTCGCTTCTCACTTATACAATCTACAATTTATTTTAAAATGTACTCGCCTGTAAACGTTCGTTGTTCTAATAAAAACTAATATGACAGCTTCAGTTTAATTTTTATGAATTTTAATAATTGATAAATTTTGTATGCGTAGATATTAATGCTTTTACTATGTAATTAACAATAGAAAATCGGATTACATTGAGAAAGAGTTACCAATGCATTCAGTTTTCAAGACAGTCATTCGATATTCTATTTTAGGAATATTGTATGATTATATTATTATACATGTTTAGTATATTTGCTGCTAAAAGAATACAAGAATATAATTCTGAAAATTTGACATATTGCAAAATATGTTGATGCTAATGATAACTAAAGGGCTATACCTTCCTGGGCACTAAGAGCGGGTGGAATGATAGAATAAGGAAATGAAACACTAGGGTAATCTGCCAAGAAGGGATGTTTCAACAGATAAATTTTTAAGAAACTGGCCTCTATTTAGGTCCTAGACACGTGAAGAAAATCCTGAAAACTTTAGATCTTTGGTGAGGTACGAAGACCAGTGTTCAGTTGTGTTATCCATTCGGCTATTGGTAGGCGGTACTAAGTCATTCCCCTAGGAGATCTGCCTAGAGGGATGCCTTCCGGGAGGTCTTTTTAAGGAAACTGGCCCTATTTAGGCGTTACAGACGTGGAGAAAACCCACGACCGAACTTCCAGTGTTCAGGGAACGAAGACCGCATGGCCACTGGTGGGTCCAAATAATTAAAAATAAACACAAATATAGTTATTTAAAGTCTTTTCGAGCGCACACAGGATGCCGTAACGTAATAACATACTTTTACTTTTCCGGCTGTTATGTATATACATAACAAGGAAAAATATTGGAATCGTGTCAAATTTGACTCTTTTAGTTTTTTTTGCAAATCTCCATATTTTGAGACTCCCTGACCCCAAAAAAGTCAATAAAGGCTAAAAAATTTCGTGTATATGTATGCGTGTTTTGGCGTCTATTTCGCTTAATATCTCAGGACGGGTTGAAAATAAAGAAACGAAATTTGGCACGGTAGCTTGTATATAAGAGGCATTAATGCTATTAAATTTTGGTTGTAAAAGGTCAAGAGGATGGAGAGATAGAGATTGGTCATGTGTTATATCTCGCGAGGGGTCAGACTTAATGAAAGATTTTACTTGTTGTTAGCATTTACAGTGTTTTATAAAACTCATTTCTACCGTCATAATTAAATCTTTTGCTATTTTATAACAATTAAAAATATATATATAAAATTTTTAAAACAAAATCTGATAACAGATGGCGTTACATGCAATTTTATTTTTGCTTAATAGTACAAAAGTTTTTTAATAGAAACTCATAACAGCCGGGAAAGTTACGCAACTCTCTTTGCTATATTTTTTTCTCTTTGTTATTTTAAAACTAAATCTGTAATTTTTAGCTTTAAAAATACGATTTTTTAAACTAAATCAGGAGACTTCCTAAAATAACTGGCAACTCTTATTGTATTATTATTGTATTAACTACAATAAAGGTTGCCAGTTATACCTCATTTTTATACGATAGAGAAATAATAAATTTTCTTCTCACTTTATCCAAAATGTATGAATAAAACCCGAATTTTAAGGCTTATATTTGCTTCAACCTATCTTTTTAATGTCAGCTTTATCCGCACGTGAATAAAAGGCGGTTTTTATACGTATAAAGTTCGAAATTCTTCTTGCTTTAACCAAAAAAATTCGGATAAAGTTAACATTAGCCAGTTAATTCTAGCTGTATATGGTTCACTAGCCGTAACATATACACTTCACATGGTAGAAAGTGGTTATTCAAAGCGACAGACATTATGAGAAAAGTGTATCGTGAATAAAGAATTTATATTTAAATAATTAAAAGTTATCACAAATAAATATCGGCTTTTTTCGTTAGTTAATTGTTTTAATGCCAGAACTTCTCTGCAGTGATAGGTATGGTCAAGTACTGTACACACATAAAGCCGTCTGAAGTCATTATTTTTCTGCAGTAAATGCTTTATTGTCATTTTTCTTATCTCAAAGATATTTTTTACTGCATGTTTTAAGGTTTTCAGTATTGTAATTTCCTGACTACGAGAGAATATTTCAAATAGAGCAAACAAAATAGGTCCGAATCCATGGTAAGGTTTGAATAAAGTGCCAACAAATAGCTAAAACAGTATGGTATACAATTAACAATTAATAATAAGTTATATCATCAACTACAATATAAATTTATAATAGCATTATCATAATTGATAGGCCCTCAATGGCAGATTAAGCGAATAGCACACGCGGATAAAAACCACTGAACACTGGTAGGAGGTTGCTGGTTCTGGTCTAATCTCCAAGTGGAATTTTTCGGGTTTTCTTCACATGCCTAACACCTAAACATGAGCCAGTTTCTCGTAGAAAGCCCTTCTGGGAGGCATCTCCTTGATTGATTCACGTGTTGGTCGCCATATTCCATTAAACCAAAATAAACAACAATTCCCAGACAGAGATTTTGAATTCTGAAATCACCTTTTCAAAATATTAAGACAGTTTATAGAGACATTACCATATATTGTGTTTAGAAAGGAAACCTACAGCAAGTGTAGTGTCTAGAATTAACAGCTAAAATAAATCAACTGGAAGATTTGTGCAGAAACGTATTGAAAAAATTCACGAGAAAAAGTACAATAAAACCTCTTTACGATCGTTGGCTTACAACTTCCCGCTTTATTACTGGTATAAATTTCCTATTATAACAGTATAAAATTAGTTATTTTAGCTTCTTTATACTTTATCTTTTGTATGGTATTGCATAAAATTGAATTACCAAGAACTTAATCTCATATCTCTCAATGCTTGGCATTGAAATCTTTTAATTTAATCACAATAAATAAAAGATCAATAAGATTTTAATTCAGAAATTAAAAATTAACACTATCATTTATTTAACTTTCTTACCATACTTTTTTAGTCAAAATACTAAATTTTAGGGGTGCTTTATGTGAAGGATCCAGCCCAAATGGCCATACTGGCTGGCATCCTCCTCTATCTAGAGATTCTAGACTTATCGGTCACCTGTCTGTCCGTAAATTATATTTGAATATATATATATATATATGATAATTAAGTACTGTAAGTAATAATTACAATTACACACGGTATACAATTACTTACAAAAAATAGGACATAGTACTAAATTGTCGTATTTATTATTAAAATATTAAAGTTTTATTAATGATTTATTTATCTTATAACAACTGAAACAGCTAATTTACATTTGCGACTAGAACCTTAGTAAACTGTTATATTGCAGTTGACATTAATAGAGCAAACATTTCGCTTCCTTGAACTTAAATTTGACTGGTTTGTGACGTCGAAGCAGCAATTCCGGTTTTATTTAACCTATAAAAGTACAGTCTTAAGTAGCATTATTTACTCTTTAAAGTTGACATTTCATCATGAAGAAGTTGGGATTATTTATATCGATCTATCTGCTCCAATGTATCTACGTCAATGGGCAAATCCATTTTGCTGGTAGCTGCCCTAACCCCACTCCTATGGAAGATTTCGATATTGTAAAAGTAAGTTGATTTTATGACACATTCTAAAACACTACAGCAATTAAAAAAAAAACTTCATTTTTATGAGGATTTCTAGATTAAAACATTAAATTGATGAGGATTTTAGTCCAACTTTCTACAGTATATTAGTGTATCTTATGGAGTCTTATTAGTGTATCTTAGTGAAGCAGTATTTATTGCTTAAAAATTTGATATTATTTCTATTCGAAAATAAGATGAAATTTGATAATAATTAAATAAGTAAATTATATATTTATCTGGTATTTAATTAAACGAATCCTTAAAATGATAGAAAAATTTCTGTAGATAAACAAAGCAGGATCTTTATCGCATAAACTAACGAGACAAGGTAAGTGCCAATGACCTAACCTACAAGTGGATAGAATGTCAAGGGCAACACCAGGAAGTCGAGAATGTCACTCGCTATTTTCCTGATGTTTAATGCGTTAAATGGATTCGTATTTTTTAATGTTTTTTACGTTCTTTTTTCGTAGTTTGCAGGTAAATGGTACGAGATAGAAAGAACTTTTTCTATTTTTGGATTTCCGTGGAATTGTCCGACAACTCAAATTACAATAACGGGAGAAGGAGTAGAAATGGAACGAGGAGTCTTCGCTTCTACGTAAGAGACTTCTCGTTTAATTGAAAGATGTGATTAATTTTCTTAATTAAATTCAATTTTTTTTTTAAATTCAGGTTAAGCGCTAATCACTATAATCGAATTGCACTAGCAAAACTGAACGTACGAGACAGAAGGCAACCAGCAAAAATGGAGTTCAGAATGCCAGGAAGTACGTTTACATCAGATTTTTATATACGATTTATACGAATAAAACGGTAATTTATCGAATATATTTTCAGTTACTGAACCGATAAAGTATTACATAATGGATACAGATTACGACAATTACACGTTAGCATGGGGTTGTTACGAGGCGAGTAATTTGAGAGGGACATTCGGACATTTTGGTAATTTTCTCGAATTAAATATATATTTTTTTATCAATTAATTTATTTAATAATTAATATCGATATTCTTCTTGTTATTCGTAGAATATATTTGGTTATTGTCGAGGACACCAAAAATGGATACGGCCGTTCAGCAAGAGTTATATACATTGATGGACGATAGAGGAATTCGTAGACTACGTTTGACCAGAAATAGAATGGATAACTGCGAAGAAAAAGTGAATTAATTTATTAAAATCCACTTTATATTTATTTATTTATAATTAAAATTATTCACACGTTTCTTACTGAATGGTATAATGATATAACTTTTGTCATAGACACCGAAAAAATGTTAAAATGGCCTCATTATCCAGCCATATATTATAGACTATTATTGTAGTATAAAAGTTGTAATAATATAATTATAATAAAGTTTATCAGTATATATTTTATGGTTTTACTTGATTACTCAAATGATTAAACGTTTTATATGATTTTAAACGTTAAATAAGGATTTTATAATACATTATCCAGTATACTATAGTGTTATAAATGTGATTTATAAATAACTACTGAATCATTATTTACCTAAATCTTCAAAAATCAATTTTACGTGCTTATTTAGACTAGCCATTAGCCATTATTGACGATTTTTTAAAAAGAATATCTAGCGTTAAATCACATGGAAATAATAAATGACCGGAAGAATTCATCAAATCATTTAAGAGAAATTTGTAACTACCTTATTGCTGTGTTTTAAAGGCAGGTTATCAAATTAAGAGTCAGGAAAATCATTCGAATACAAAGTGATTTGGTGCTTTTATGGTCAAAGGATAAAATGCAATAGACTGACTCAAAATAATCCAACCACTCTAAATAAACCTATCTGATCTATAAAAGGATGCAATGGCTATAATTTTCTGTGCGTCAAAACTTGCTTGTTTCTTTCAAATTGTTGCATCACCTTGCCGAATGTTTCTCCTTAATACGATTATTAAATTATTTCTTAGCTCGTTTGTTGTGAGAGTACCAAACATACAATGCCCTACAGAATGTCTTGCATTGTGAATAAACCTAAGAAACCATGAGAAATTTGGGTTGTTAATTAGTTTCTCAACCTCTTCCATCACCCCATCGTTCCCTCCTACATCGCTAACCATTGGTCACTTTCATATTGATATCGAAGAGTAGATAACAACCTACCCTCCTGTGACATCACTCAAATGCTCTCTTCCTACTTGTTTATCGTTATATTTACAATATAAAAGTGAGCCAATAGGAACGGTGGTCATTGTTACGGTGACTTAAGTCTTACAAATTATCTTAATGTAAGCAATAAAGTGACTAGACCCAACATTACGGGCGCAAATTAGAGTAATGCAAACATACATTCACTCCTGTAACAGTATGAATGTATCCACTAGGTCTGTAAACTCTTAGATATTGCATATATCTACACGTATATAAACACCTTTGTATCATAAAAAAATATCTTTTTCCTGTACTTATTTGATTTTTTTTCTTAATTTATTTATTTACAAAGGTAAAGGAGCCCGAGTTCTTGGGGCACTCCATTAGTTATACAACTGTATGTCTTATAAAATATGGTCTAAATTGGGATTAATACATAATGTATTGATATTTTTTAAACATTTAAATCTGACCTTTAGAATTTAAGGATATAAATCACATACTTTTAATTTATATACCATTAAAATAAGCATGCAAGAAGGTCATCCAGGTCACATCGGATAAGGTTAAGCGCCAACTAAATCCTATCATTAGTTCACTCTATATGAAAACATATCAAATATTCAAGTGTTACCATCAATTTACGAATTACACTCTTTAAAATCCGTAAAAAAATCTGTTATAATTTTGATATAATTAAGGTTAATTCAACAGAGGTTCAAGGTTGTTGTCTTTAACCATCCTTGAAGTTCAAGATACATTGCATCTATGAATAAACTTAATTAAATTCAACGTGTTGATTAATATTAATAAATCTAAAATTTCTGTTTCCTTAAACTTTTCTACCATTGGTTGGTGACGTCGAAGTTGATATTCCGGTTTTATTCACGCTTCTTAACCCTTTATATACTCTTATTAATAGTAGTAGAAGATAGAAGAGCATTTAATCATGAAGTCGGGATTAATAATTCTCATCTATCTGCTTCAAAATATCTATGTGGATGGGCAATCATACTTCGCTAGTAGCTGCCCTAATCCCGCTCCTATGGAAAATTTCGATATCGAGCAAGTAAGTTTATTTATTAATCATTTATTACCTCTTAAATCTAAAGTATAACTTGGAATTTAATATATTTTACATTAAATTAATAAGTCCTTACTATCTTCAGACTAACATAGAATATTTTAATGACTTAATACTTATGTTTTTTAGTGTTAAAATACGACTTTTCTTAGTTATTATGTATAATTTAATGCCTAAAATTTGTTCAAAATTAACACAGAAGACCTCAACACAGAAGCTCAAATCCTCAAAGGTGTTTTATTTTTATTTAAATGTTAATAGATTTAAACCATTTAATATTAATAACAATTAAAAATAAATCCACAAAAATGGATAAAGATCCTTTTTTTTAATCTTGTAAAGCAACCAAAGATCCTATTAAAAAGCCTATGACCTGTAGGTTGAAATGACCTAACCTAGTAGGATGGAATGTCAAGGATACCAGGAAGTAACCGCGTATCTGTTCCTAAGACTTCGGTATTAGTTTATAATAAATAAATAAAGTATATTTATATATTGTTTTTTTAAAATTTTAATTCAGATATATTAACTTTATGAAGCTTTATATATATTTTGAATAAGATTTGGTAGGCAACAGCTTAAATATGCCAACGTTTTGATTACAGTGAGAGTAAAGAATGAAAAGTTCTTGATTACTGTAAAAATTAAACAAAAGAAACGTTTAATAGTTAATAACAACAATAATAAAAGAATATATAGATAGATATATAGCTCTATTATCAGCATATGTTTATGTGTGGACATCTCCTAGGAAATAATTTCTCGTGTTCTGTACTCTTTATCTTTATTCTTTCCTCTATAAATATACGATAAAACCTGTGTAAACCGGACTCGCACGGAATATTCTTTCAGGTTTGGCAGGTTTCCATTTTGAACGGGTGTTTTTTAACACAGAAAATCGCTGCATTTCGAAGGATTTGTCTCGTTTAGGCAGGTTTACGTTTTATAAAGGTTACGTTTTGTTATTTGATAATATTTATATCTTTTTATTCCATTTTTTCTTATTCTAGAGTTGCATTCATGAGTGTTTCTATTCCTTTTTAAGAAGATAGAAGCATTCGTTTTCTGTCTATTACACTCGTTTTTCATCCTTTTAAGTATTAAAACTTATCTGAATTAATTTTTTAGTTTTTAATTAAAATATTATTATACATATTTTTGCTAGGCCCCTCCTTAGATCCGGATTCCAGAGTTACAACTTCGACTTCCTACCCTTATTGTCGGTCCTATCAGATTCTTCCTCTTTCCATCTTCGCATTCCTATCACGCTAAGTAAAGAGATGTCATTCATCTCCATGATAACAGCACTCTACTTCATTATCTGTCAGTTGGAATTCTGGCTGCAATATATTAATATTCTTTTCTGTCTTCAATCTTCTTTGGAAAGGAAAAGTCTCGCACGTAAAGATATTCTGATAAAGCATCGATAAAAAAATTACAGTTTTTATTAAAGAAAAACCTGGCTAATGAGTTTATATAAAAGAATTTGCAGACAAAATTAATTTAGGTGATATTATTCCGATTTCTTGCAACACAATCTATGTGAATAATAATGGTAAAGAATGGCAAAGACCCAATAAATGTAACAATATTAGTCATTTTTTAAATATTTCTGCTTTGTTTCTGTTAAGTATTATAAATTTGATTATAGTAAAGCCTTACAGAAAGTCTCTGACACCATTACCTTGTGTATTCTCCATACAAAATTTAATTTTTTTCGCGTTTTCCATGGCATCTTCTTCCATGTTTACGGTTAGAAATCATTAAAGTAGTCTCTGGTTTTAGATCTTCAATTTTATGTTTCAAAATGCACATTTTTTTTAATAAATATGGTCTTACTTGATGGTCAAATAAGAGAGGAATCTTTTCCAACAGTTTTTCTTCCCATTTCTTCAGCAACTATTTTCTTACTATTGATTTTTTTGAGTATGAAAAACAATTTTTTTTTTTCAATTCAATTTTCTGTATTTTGTGATGAAATGTTTCTCCTTCTGACTTTAAAACATTACATAAAGAACTATTGCATATTATTGAATACCATGTTTCTTTATTGCTGTTTCTGAACTCTAAATTTCATTCTCATACCTTCCTCATCATAAATGATAAATGATAGATTAGTATGTTAATGTTGCAATTATAAAATATAGTATTCTTCGTTATATTCTTCGGTTAATTATAGGTATTTAATGAAAAGAGAATAGTTAAATCCCATTATTTATAGCGTCAAACCTCTGAACAACGGGAGGTTCGTTATGGAATGTGTTACCTTTTATGTCAATGTAACTTATATGCATATTATTTTAATACATATATTTACATGTTATGATTTAAAGTTTGCAGGTAGATGGTATGAGATAGAAAGAACTCTTTCGATTTTTGAAACTCTTTGGAATTGTCCCACAACGCAGATAACGATAACAGGAGACGGGATACAATTTGAACGAGGAGCTTTCGCCTCTCTGTAAGATATATTATGAAAATTAAATGTTATATATAACATATTACTTAATTCACTACTCATTTCAGATTTAACAGAAATCATTATCATCGAATATTAAGATCAAAATTAACTACACCCGATAATAGACGACCCTCAAGAATGGAATTTACAATAAGAGGAAGTAAGATTTATGAATTATTTTTAATCTTAAATATCGATAAATCAATTATTAATGATTGAAAATAAATTGTTTTTAGTCACGGAACCAGTGAAATACGTTGTCTTGGATACCGATTACGGTAACTATTCGTTAGTGTGGAGCTGTTACGAATATACACGCTTAGGAGGAGCATTAGGACATTTCGGTAAATTTCACGAATATACAAAGTGCCCAATAAGTATGGAACCAATAGAAGTTAAGTTATTCTTTATCGGTGCCCATTAGTGATCGAGTAGATATCAAGAAAACAATTGAACAATTGAACACTAGTAATTGGTAGTGGGTTCACGCTTTACCAACGGACTGGCCACGTGAAGTTTTCCGGATTTTCTTCACGTTTGTAACATATATAGGGACCAGTTTACCGTAGAAAGGCATCATCACTTATCAC